ATTTATGACATCAAGAAAATGTTCACATTTATGACATCAAGAAAATGACATCAGAGTTCCAAAGCAAGCATTCCAACCAATAAGAAGCTGCCTCAGGTGTCACCTAGGATAGTCATATATCTCTCTTCTTCTCAAGAAGTAATATAGTATATATATAAAACAGGACATCTTGAGGCAAGGAGAGAGTGGAATGCATGTATTTGGGCAATGCTGTATTCTCCTCTGGTGGGATTGGTTATAGGGCCCAGGTCCTGAAGGAGAGGCCTGGGGAGTTGGATTTGGACAATTGGAATGATGAGCTAGGGATATCTGTATGGAGATGCCAACAGGTTGCTCATGCCAGCATTGCAGAGAGCCATGACTTTGGCTAGTTTTTCAGGGCTGTTCTTCAAATGTTAGTTCAAAAGCCTAGGTTTGTAGGCCTCCCTAGAGGACCAGCTTCTTGGGTGTTATTTCATGTTAATCAAATTCAGAATTGCTGATACATAATCAAAATGCTGTACCTACACTAGCCACAACCCAGTCTTCTGGGTCTTCACTCAGGTTAACCAACCATCCCAGATTGTCTAGGGTTGTCCTAGTGTTAGCACTGAAAGTTCTATATCCAGAAACCCCCCTTTGTCTTCGGGAAACCCCTCATTTCCAGGGGATTATTGGTCACCTATTTGACTCTCCTGAGCCCCTTAGCAGCTGCAGCATAAGAGGAGGGGAAATGCAATCTATGCCCTGGATGCAGATGATAAACAGCTCTCAGCCCTTGTGTAACCGTACAACCCAGGATGCACTTTCAGGGAGGAAGAACATTGCTACTTCTCAAGTGTGCCCAGATATTGCTGTTCTGATTGTCTCTCGCTGCATAACAAATTATTGTAAAATGACTGTAAAAGAGTCTTAAAAAACATTACTTTATTCTCTCCTGGTTTCTGTGGGTCAGGGATTTGGTAAAGGCTTAGCTGGCAATACTGGCTCCTTCAGTAAGATAGTGGCTACAGCTAGAACAGCTGGGGACTGTCAACACCTCTGTCTTCATGTCATCTCAGTGCCTCTCCAGGGCCTCCTCTCTCTGTATTGGATAGTTTAAGCTTTCTCACAGCATAATAGCCTCCAGGCAATTAAATGCTCAATTGACACTTCAGAGTTCCAAAGCAAGCATTCCAACCAATAAGAAGCTGCCTCAAGTGTCACCTAGGATATTATTGCATAGACCATTTCCGTCACAGTCACAACATTCAAGGGGTGGGACATAGACTTCATTTCTTGATAACTGGAATATCAGCATCACATTGTAAGAAGAACATGTTGAGATGGAGAGATTATTTTACAATGTACAAGTCTTAAAACCCACCACAATTACCTTGGTTCCAAAGGTTTGAAAAATGCAGTTTTTGACTGGACATGGTAGCTCATGCCTGTAATCCCAGCACTTTGGGAGGTTGAGGCGAGCAGATCAGTTGAGGCCAGGAATTCGAGACCAGCTTGGCCAACAGGGAGAAACTCCATCTCCACTAAAAATACAAAACTTACCCGGGCATGGTACAACACATGCCTGTAGTCCCAGCTACTTGGGAGGCTGAGGCACGAAAATTGTTTGAACCTAAGAGGAGAAGGTTTCAGTGAGCTGAGATCATGCCCCTGCAGTCCAGCCTGGGCAACAGAGTTAGACTCTGTCTTAAAAAAAAAAAAAAATGAATTTTTTCATTAGTAAAAGTAGTGATACTGTTAAAATATATTTTTCCCATGAATTGTTATTAAGACAATTTTCATTTTGAATGCAAACAAAATGTCAGCCTATAATTGTTTCTTGACTTGTCCTGAAATCCCTTGGTCACCATTCTTCTACTGAAGTGAATATCTCCCTATCTATCTATCTATCTATCTATCTATCTATCCATCCATCCATCTATATCTGCACAGGCATACCTTAGAGATATCGAGGGTTTGGTTCTGGGCTACTGCAATACAACAGTATTGCAATAAAATGAGTTGTAAGAAGCTTTTGGCTTCCCAGTGCATATAAAAGTTATATTTATACTATACTATAGTCTATTAAGTGTGCAATAGTATTATGTCTAAAAAAATACATACCTTAATATAAAAAATACTTTATTGCTAAAAATGCCAATAATCATCTGAAACTTCAGTGAGTGGTCATCTTTTTGCTGGTCTTGCCTTGATGTTGACGGCTGCTGCCTAATCAGGATGGTGGCTCCCAAAGGTTGGAGTGGCTGTGGCAGTTTCTTAAGATAATGTTGAAGTTTGCTATATAGATTGACTCTTCCTTTCACAAAAGATATTTATGGCAGATATAGCCTTACAAAATGTATTTCTTAAATAATAAGACTTGTAAGTTGAAATTACTTCTTGATTCATGGGCTGCAGAATGGATGTTATGTTAGCAGGCAGGGAAACAACATTTATCTCGTGCTCTTCCATCAGAGCTCTTTGATGACCAAGTGGATTGTCATGAGCAGTAATCTTTTGAAAATAATCATTCTTCTAAGCAGTAGCTCTGAACAGTAGGCTTAAAATATTTTTTAAACAGAGGTGCTGCCATCCAAGGGCTTTGTTGTTTCATTTATAAAGCACAGGCAGAGTAGATGTAGCATAATTCTTAAGGGCCCTAGGATTTTCAGATTGGTAAATGAACATTGGCTTCAACATCAAGTCACCAGTTGCATTATCCTCTAATAAAGAGAGTTAGCCTGTCCTTTGAAGCTTTGAAGCCATGCATTGACTTCTCCTCTCTAGCTATGAAAGTCCTCGTTGGCATCTTCTTCCAATAGAAGGCTGTTTCATCTCCAGTGAAAATCTGTTGTTTAGTGTAGTCACCTTCATCAATGATCTTAACTAAGCCTTCTGGATAACTTGCTGCACCTTCTGCATCAGCACTTGCTGCTTTACCTTGCAGTTTTATGTTATAGAGATGGCTTATTTATTGAAACCTCATGAACCAACCTCTGCTAGCTTCCGGCTTTTCTTCTGCAGCTTCCTCACCTCTCTCAACCTTCATAGAATTGAAAGGCGTTAGGACCTTTCTCTGGATTAGGCTTTGGCTTAAGGGAATGTTGTGGCTGTTTTGATCTTCTATCCAGATCACTCAAACTTTTATCCATATCAATAATAAGGCTGTTTTGCTTTCTTATGGTTCATGTGTTCACTGGAGTAGCACTTTTCATTTCCTTCAAGAACTTTTCCTTTGCAATCACAGCTCGGCTAACTGTTTGGTGCAAGAGGCCTAGGTTTTTGTCTGTTGTGGCTTTTGTCATACCTTCCTCACTAAGCTTAATCATTTCTAGCTTTTGATTGAGAGTGAGAGATGTGTGACTCTTCCTTTCACCTGAACACTTAGAGTTCATTGTAGGGCTATTAATCGACATAATTTCAATATTCTTGTGTCTCAGAGAATAGGGACACCTAAGGAGAGAGAGAGAGAGAAACAGCCAGTTGGTGTAGCAGTCAGAATGCAAACAGCATGTATAAATTAAGTTCACCCTCTTCTATGGGTGCAGTTTGTGGTGCCCTAAAACAATTACAGTAATAGCATCAAAGATCACTGATCACATAATTAATATGTGATCACTGATCATGTAATTAATGACAGATATAATTTTTTAAAGTTTGAACTATTGCAAGAATTAACAAAATGTGACACAGAGACACAAAGTGAGCACATGCTGTTGGAAAATTGAGGCCAATAGACTTGCTCAATGCAGGGTTGCCACAGACCTTCACTTTGTAAAAAAATGCGAGAAGCACAATAAAGGGAAACACAATAAAATGAATATGCCTCTATCTATGTAGAGATACACACACACACACACACAAACACACACACACACACACACACACACACACACACACCCCTACCTATGTTCCTCTCATGGCCCCCAAAATCCAACTGACCAAGAAGATAGGTGTTGCAAAAGTACATTTGCCCTCAAAGTAAGAATTTGGGGGGTATGTGTATGTGTGTGGTATATGTGCTGGTGTACACATATGCACCCTGGGGGAGTGGAAAGAAAGGAGCACTTGGGAGAAGAGAAGAACATTAGTGCCACAGGGTGACTCAGGTTGAAAGGAGGCCGGCATCCACAGCAGGAAAGTGCACTGAAATGTTGATGGCTAGAGAGGAAACTAAAAGGGAGACAAGGGCAGTGGCAGCCATTTAGAAGCAAAGGATGGGCATATCTACAACATTATTCTAGTTTGGTCATTTCGTTTAAAATGTAGACACTAACGTTCTGACCCAACTCTCTCTCTCTCTCGCTCTCTCTCACTCTTTCTCTCTCTCTCTCTCTCTCTCTCTCTCTCTCTCGACAAGGTCTTGCTCTGTTGCCCAGGCTGGAGTGCAGTGGCATGATCATAGCTCATTGCAACCTCCACCTCCTAGGCTCAAGCAATCCTTGCATCTCAGCCGGCCAAGTAGCTGAGACTACAGGCCGTATGTCACCACGCCCAGCTAATTTTTGTGTTTTTTGTAGAGATGGATTTTGCTATGTTGCCCAGGCTAGTCTCAAACTCCTGGACAAACACAATCTGCCCATCTAGCCTCCCAAAATGCTGGAATTACAGGCATGAGCCACCATGTCCAGTCCCAGCTCTCTGATGCTGCCTCTCCCCCACTGTGGTGCCTAAAACCCATGAGTTATTCTTTCTGGTAGCCTCTAGTTTCTCACTCCAGGGTATTAGAAATTGGGCTTTAAAAAAAACCCAAATGAAGTTATTTGAGGAATTTGCTGACAGCACGTTTTGGGCAATGTTTCAGAAAACATGATGCAAATTTTAATTTTTTTAAACTGATATTTCAGTGGCTTGATATATTTAATATTGCAACTTTAGTTTTATGAATCTTGCATGAGTTCTGTTGTTTTCATGTCATCTCATTATACTATTTTTTGAGCAAACATTTGAAAAATTTAAAAAATGTATAGTATAAGGGAAGTATTGTAATTCTGAGCCACTACTTGTTTAAAAAGACACTTTATTTGTTTGGATTGTAGGAATATTGTAATACAGTCCAGCTAGATTCTGGGATAGATTACCGGAAAAGGGAACTTCCTGCTGCAGGAAAACTCTACTACCTGTAAGTGCTTTTAATTTTTGAAGTTTAATATCTAATCTTTAATCAGAAAAAGATGATAAAAATAAACAGTTTAATTATTGGAACGTGAAAGGCTGGTTTTGAAGCCCACGATTTTTAAACTGCAAATGTTTTCATGTTAACTTCTTCAACCCATGTCTTTACCATCCATATTTGCATCATTTATAATGTGTGATTGGATAAAACCCTAATTAGTTTTTTGGGGAGGAATGATGACAGATGGTTAGAATGTAATGAGTATCCTTTTATAAGAGACTCTACTATTATGAGAATATCTTTAATGTGTGAAGTAATTAATTATTTGTGGATATCATCTGACAAATGTGCCATTTCCATTCCCCCAAAAATTGTTGTTTCATTTGTCAATCTGTTTGTATTTATCATTGTTGATTGACTTCCATATATAACTGATATAAAATATATATACACAAATACAACTGGATATATTTTTGTCTTTTAAAAGCTAAGATGCTCCTGAGTAGGACCAATTTATAATAATAGATGTATTCAGCATGTGCAGTTAATACTGAAAAACAAATATAGTTTGTTTTAAAATGTCCTTTGTGAGAACCTGAAAAGGAAAAAGTGCTTTACAAAAGCAAACTTGTTTAGTATATGCCAACAGTGTTGGGCACATAGCAAATTCTCAGTAAATAGATTTGTCTAAGGACTAATTGTAATTTAACTAAAAGGCATGTTTCTGGTAATTTAAATTTTGATGACAACGTGCATTTGAGAGGTTGAGAAAAGTTCTTGTCTCTGCCACCTTGTAAGCAGAAGTACTTTACTGTTTTTGAAGCAGAAATTAGCTAGAAAAATCACATAATTAAAATTGCATACTTTACAGTGTACCAAGGGGACTATTTTAGTTTATTATTCAGATCCTGATGATTATTATAGGAGGTTTTTCATCTATCCTCAAGTACTTTGTCTTTAAAGTACTTTATAATTTTAAAAAATTCATATAGCACATTTTTCTGCTTTAACTTGGACTTTTTCTTCCCAGTTTCTTTTATGTTTGTGTTTACTGGATATTTTATTTTTCTGATATTCACAGCCTTTCCCTGATTTTTTGCTACCTATGTCTTGATATTCCAGATGTATGGTACCAATGCATTAATTTATTATTATTCTCTTTATTCTTTTTTTAAAGGAGGTAATTGTTGTTCTCTGTTTTTTTCAAAAAGTGTATCCTTATGTGGCAGAATAAAAATATTTTCCTTATGGGAAGTTCCTTAAATAAAGATGGTAGTCTGAGTCTAAATTATGAAATTTGTTTCATAGTGCCGAAGAGGTCTTGGAAGTTACTGGAGGTGAAAGGGCTACTTTTGCTTGGAGCATAGCCATTTTTTGTCTCTGACTTACCCTGTGTTACCCCTTCCTTTTCCTGATAAAAGTAATAATATTCTAACCCAGTGAAGTTCAGTTTTGATCTTTAAAAATATGCTAGAGGAAAACTAACACTAACAATGTCCAGAGTCCAGGAAACCAGACCTACAAAGGACCAGACCTACCAGGAAACTCTGGACCAGCTTTCCTGAAAAGTATATAAATTCAAAGGCCAGGCACAATGGCTCATGCCTAGCCAAGCCCTTTGGGCGGCCGAGGTGGGAGGATCTTGTGAGCCCAGGAGTTTGAAACCAGCCTGGGAAACATAAGGAGACCCTGTCTCTACAAAAAATTTAAAAAATAGCGGGTGTGGTGGCACCTGCCTGTAGTCCCAGCTACTTGGGAGGCTGAGATGGGAGGATCACTTGAGCCTGGAAGGTGGAGGCTGCAGTGAGCCATGATCACACCACTGTACTTCAGCCTGGCAACAGAACAAGACCCTGTTTCAAAAAAAAAAAAAAATATATATATATATATATATATACACACACACACACACACACACTTATATAGATATATATAGGAGGTATATGTCTATTATCTATCTATCTATGTATCTATAAATTCATTTAATCTTCAAGGAAGATAAATTTGTTCTGGAATTTAACATCCAAAGGGCTTGACCATAGTCAAGAATAGAAAGCCTGGGGGCATCCCTCAGTCAGAGGGGAAGGCAGATATGTAAGTATCCCTGAGGAGAATGAGCAATTAAAATCATCTCAGAAGTGGGAAAGTAATATGAGTTACTAAGACAGGATGCTAGAGATGTGCATTATATTGTTTCACATGAGGACTCGGGTAGAACTTCTCTCATGAAGATTTTCTGAGGTTATATTAACATTTGATTTAATTAGGTTTCTTTTCATCTTGTTCTTGCCGAAAAACTTACTAACTTTACCCTGTATCAGACTTTAATGTGCTATGCTATATATTGCCCTATTAAAGCATGTGTTTCTCTTTATCACCATCTGGCCAGACATCTGGAATTGATTCCTGAATATGCAAGTCCAGACTACCCCCTTGTCAGTTTCACTGGAGCCCCAACTGCCTGAAAACAAACAAACAAACAAAAACACAAAAAACAAAATTTTAGCTTCCTTCTAGGGGAACACCAAGCGCTATCTCAGAATTTCATACAAGTAGAATCCCACATAAGATCTTTAACAAAACAGAAGTATTAATATTCATCAACTCAGTATTTTATTAGTCTCATTTCCCAAAGCCAATTAAAGATATCCAAAATACAATCCAAATAATATCAAGAATTACCACAGATTTCTAAAACTACCCACAAAGTTGACATGGAGCAATTTCTGTAGTTCGTAATATTGCCTGGATCCCACAAGAACTAATTCACATAAGACAGGGCATGTTTGTGTGTGATCTATATCACATTAAATTTAGAAATCCTAGAGTACCTTCATAAGTAAGTTTCAGATATTTGTGGCCCTGTAACAACCTCATATGCACCCGCAAGCTCAGAGAATTTAAATTTAGCAAGCTACAAAACAGAGACCTTGAGTGCAAATACCCAAACTTTTGCATAGACTGAAACACCCCATGCTTGTCCAATTTTTTATTCTGTGCTAAATGTATGATCACTCCAGAGATGAGCACAGTTTGTTTCTTTTTTTTTTTTTTTTTTCTTTTTTTTTTTGGTGGGAGGCACGGAGTCTTGCTCTGTCACTGGAGGGCTGGAGTGCAGTGGTGGGATCTCGGCTCACGGCAACCTCTGCCTCCCAGGTTCAAGCGATTCTTCTGCCTCAGCCTCCTGAGTAGCTGGGATTACAGGCACACGCCACTACACCCAGCTAATTTTTGTATTTTTAGTAGAGACGGGGTTTTGCCATGTTTGTGTAGCTGGTCTCGAACTCCTGACCTTAGGTGATCCACCCTCCTCAGCCTCCCGAAGTGCTGGGATTACAGGCGTGAGCTACCACGCCCAGCCAGTTTGTTTCTTTTCTAGTTGCTTGGTGAATAGCACTCAGTAAAGTCCCCATGCTGAAGTCCAGACAGATCAATCAAGCACTGGGCTTCCATTTACATCTGGATGGAGGCTTGGACAGTAATCTATTTTGAATCGCCTGGTACTGATCAAGGGTGACCCCATCTCATGCTTATAGAGAATTTAACTGCTTCAGATTAGCTCTCTGTTTGGGGACTGGTAATACTAGAGGTTATTGTTTTATATATGCATATCTTTTTAAACAGGAAGCACCATTGCTGAAGGGTCCATGGTATGCTGCCCCAGGCCATTTTGCTGTCCCTATTGTGAAGCGTTACTGGTTTCCTGGGGAGAGGAGTTCACATCACCTTGGACTCACCCTTGCTGTCTCTTTTTTATTCCAAAGCTGAGTCCTATAGGTTCTTTTCTCTACTAAGTCTATTGAAGCAGGGGTTCTTTTATCTTTCCATACTCACATACAAACACTCTGCCCTTCACACAGATGCCATAACCTGAAGAGAAGTTTTAAACTGAACCAAAAGGGGTGGGGGCAGGCATTGGTCCTGGGATTTTATTTTACCCCACTTACGAGCCTAAACCTAAAATAGGTTTGCCTTTTATTATTTCATAAGTGCTGTCAGAAGACAACAGAGACCGACCTGGGTCAGAGACACAGGATCTTATTAGCTTTGGCACAGATAGCAGCATGAGCATTAGCATGTTGTGTCAGTTCCCTCCTTGCTCCTTAGCCCCATGGAGTGGAGGGGAGGGTGTTTTGCTGAGGGCCTAGATAATTCCTGCAACAGGCAGTAAATTGTGTTACAGGAAAAGAACTCTGAGCTTGTGGAATCTGCCATCTTATAGCCAGCATAAGCAAGTCTGCTTTTTGTCTCAAGGGAGATATTGTCTCATCTTTCAAGGTTGCTCACTACACACACAACCTTGAGAAATGGTTAGGGCCTCTCGTTCTTGGCATACTCAGCGAGATGTGAAGGAGAGACCCATGGAGGGGCTTGTCTCTCCCAACAGGGGGCATTTACCTGACATTAGACCTTAAATAACCAGGCTTCCTCCCTTTGTTTCAGTTGGCTCCTGTCCACTGAAGTCATCCACCACTTCAACAGAACTACATCTGAAGCACATTGTTCAGTTGTTTAAAACTTAAATTGTCTCAAGACCATTTCAATTTCATGTATATGGGGATTTTGGATCATCCTGAAAATGGTGAAAAATCTAATTTATGACTTTTTAGACACAGCTCAAATATTCATATATTTGTACTTGGCTAATATAATGTATTTACCCATGTTTTGAACAGATTTTTTTTTAAAAAAGTTTTTTCTTAAGTACTTTTACTAGTGGAAGTTTTATGTCTCAAGCACTCTTAGTTTTCCACTTGGGAAATATCTATTCCAAATAGAAAATCATTTTGGAGAATATAACTTTGAACACCAGTTTTAAAAAGAATAATAATTAGCTGACAAAAAGACACATGGCTTCAAGGTTATATCTTTGTTTCAGAAGAAAGATCTGTGAAAACTAAGGCTGAAGCTTGTATGTGTTAAAACATACTTCCCCATAACTAAAAACTTCATGTTTCTTGCCTGTGATATTATTTACAAACACTCCTCTGCTTTCAACTGTGAGA